GCACCTCGCAATAGAAACTTCTGGTTTTCAAATGCAAACCCCCCCGTTTTTACTGTAAATTATTTAGAAGATATATATTTTTTTAAATATTGATGTAAGTTATTATTCCCTAATTTAAAATTCAAATAGTAGTTTCTCAGTTCTTAAAATTTCTATGCTAGGAAATTCTTAAAAATTATTTTACAAAAATTATTAAAATGAATTTAGTATTTATTATGCTTGGACCATTTTTCCAAATGATGAACGTTAAACAAATAATATTATCTACTACTATATTGAAATCACCATAGCCATAATTTTGATTTTAATAGGTCAACATTTCCGAATTATTAACCACTAAATGAATAAAAAAGAAGGATTCTTATATTTTATAAAACAGAAGTTTGTATCTCCAAGAGATTCTCCTTTAGTAGTACATACAAGAACTCGGAAATATGGTCTTAAATAAAAAGATTTTGACTAATTGTTCAAATAATTATTTTGTATTATTGAAGAAAAAAAAGGGATGAGCATGCTTAGTGAATCACCCGGTATAATACGGAATACAACTTAATCCATCCGTGTATGATATACACTATACACGTTACCTACATCTCTTTCCGTATACAAAGAGCTTATACATTATTTAACATAATATAATATTAAACGCGTACCTACGTGGACGTATCAAACGCATCGCACCGACTGTTTTTGAGATGTCAGTATCCACTCAATATATATGTATATCGTTAATTTAAGATCAGAGAACGAAATACGTTTGATTTTTTTAAACAAAAACGGTGCAGTAACTTACACATACATATTATTCGCGGTTTGAAATCGCACAAAGAACCCTGCATGGTGCTGTCACTTGTTATTAATTATTAACATTATTATCATACATGTTATTCCATTAATATTTGTTTATTTTATCGGATCGTATATGATAATTTATTTATGATGGATAAGAAATTATACCCAGGAAAGAAACGGAAAAATCTTGCAGGGGCTCAATTGATTAATAATCATAATACCTATACACAATAATAAAATATTATTCTCGTTACTTTATCCACCCAGGATGTTTTTCATCAACCGATGTATTATCGATATGTTACGCCGTTACGGGAACGCGCGAAATACATTTTAAAAAACGCACATATAGATGGGTGAGGTCGAGGGTTATTAGAAGAGGCTAATTATCGGAAATCAGCGGCGGTGATTTCAAACGGAAATGTTCACGATTAAATGTTTCGACTTTAGGCACAATATAATATGTAATCTTCGTAGTCTCGAACTTTATCCTGCGCGGATAATGATTGTTAATATATTACTGTAAGTACCTATAAAAACATTTGTTGTTTTAATTATTTTACACAATATACGTAATATACGTCGGTCTTATACCTAAAAAAAAGAAGATAAGTTATCTGAACCTAACTTGTGTATAATATTAATTATATTATTGTTATTATATACTAATGTATTGCCAATCAATAATTGCGAGTACAATAATTAAAGTTATAGGTAAAGCATAATAATAATATGTGGTTATTATTGTGTGACCGTTGTATATAGAAAGTCGGTAAAATTTGTTACGATTTCGTTTGAGTGTGACGCGTTCGTGGAGAGAAAAAAAATTAATATAGCTGTTCGATTGTCCATCGGATTTTATTCCGGGGGATGCTGCAAGTGGAGGCGGTATTATGGCGTTTCTATAACTGTTTTTCTTGCTTTTTCTATTTTTTTTTTTATAAATATCAATTTTCGAGCAATAGAACACGTGACGAATTTTTTTTTTGCCCACTGCAATTACAGCGGTGCACTCACTTCAATAACATACAATATACTTATATATACTCCAATCCGCCGACGCTGCAAACAGGCAACGTGATCACTGATCATCCTTCAGATTTATTATAAAATTGATTAAGTTGCCTGGCGGCGGAGATCTCGTTTTTATTCTTCTCTGGGAATCATTCGTTTATTATATACCGAATATTATATATTATATAATTTGTGCAATAGCAAATCTAAACCAGAATCATTTAATATCATAAGAACACTGCACTGCCACACATCTGCACGAATTTAGGTCAATCGCGGCCACAGAATAGATCCACAGGGTCTCCCCGCACTCGGCGACATATTATAATAGGTATGTACTATGTATGTTCCAACGAGCGACGCCGACCAATTAACCCGAATAATCGATTGTCCTCCGGACGAAAAGAGAATATATTAAAATAATAAATACCAACCAATAACGCGCAATAATAATATAATATAACAAGCAACAACAAGCGTTTAATGTGTACATTGTAGATATTATAATTGGACATTTGAACGTGCAACCACGACGATAAATTCTTTAGATTTTTTGAAATGACCCACACGCCTACCTTATAATTATGTCCACGAGACGGTGGTTAACTCATCGCGGCCTGATATACCCCGCAATGCATGTAATATATAATATTACAGGAATCACCAAAATTAAAAAACTGAATGAAAATCTCATTTAATTCAACGTAAAAAAAAATATTTAATTTATTTTTCGTCTGCGGGCAGAAAGTCCGTCCATGGGCAACCATTTAGTGATCCCTGTAATATAGGTTTCTACTGTAGTAGAAGACTTTCATTTTTTAAGGGTGCTACTTGCAGGGTAATTGAGGGTATATAATATTATAAGTGTTTATAGGTAATGTATTTATATGAAATCTCTGTATACGTTCCTGGTTAAGTTGTCGTAAAGAGTACCTACTTCTATAAGGCTTAAAAAAAACAATATCTATATTTATATTTTGTTTTCTGGACTTCCCAAAAGTCAAGAGTAAAAAACTATTTATATTTTTCCACCCAAATCTTATACTTCGAATTATCCGCACAACAAAAACAATCGGTCTGTATATAATACATTATGATCGTATGCCTACACACGATTACGCAATAATGCGTATTGTATATTATATTCATTATAATGATGATGACGATGATAACAATAATAGTCTAGTCGGGGGCCGCAAGGGTCATCTGGCCGGCTTTTTAACGGGAAACGTCTTTCGCGCGCAGCCGACGGACCCGAGTAAAAAAAAAGCTCTTCGGACCCGTCGGGATCGCGGCATCATCACTTATCGCGAGCGCGCGCGTGAGAGAATATTTTACTAAAAAAAAACAACCATACGGCATTGTTCTAATCTATATTGTACATTTGTATAATTAACTTAATTGGGCCCCCGGCATCGTTATAAAAATATTATAATATTATATACCTCTTTTACTTTAGAATATCCATTATCCACCATGCTCTCAACTCATACACTTTAATATACCTATATTATATATTATATACACTAACATAAACTGTGGAACAATGTGTATTATAAAGGCTCGATTTCGGGATGGTCCCGTGAGGGAAGCTAAATTTACCATCGTCCGAATAATATTCGGCTTGTGACGCGATGCTCATTATTAATTTATTAAATCGTACTTTCGTAAATACAAATTTAAATACCAAATATTTTGTCTATACACAATCTAATATGTATAAAATCCTTAGGTACTATTACACCAGTTAGTTTTGTATAAATTACAAGTTACATTAAAAATCATATATATAAGTTAAACATAGAATATGCTCATTTAAATCATGAAAGCCTTCTGACGGTGAATCGTGTGTAATTTGAATATGGTATTACTTATTAGTTAGTAAAGATGTGTTATGTACCTCGTATGCCTATGCATTATGATTTATGAATAATATTATTTGTTCTATCGATTTTTATTTTTATATTATTATATCATTATTAGAATTAGATAATAATCGATAACAATAAACTACTTGTATTATTTAAGCTATGGTTACTATCAGTTACTCTTTAATCATAACTACGACTCGTATACCTAGTCGTATTATTACATTCAAACATATAGATATAAAGTGGACTATGATAGCGATTGATATGCTTCAGATTTTAAGATAAACAACTATAAGATTTTTGTTTAATATACTGAAGTTTGAACCTACTTCTTACTTAATAAATTACTACTAGAAAAAAGTAAAAACCACTTCATAACCTAGCCATGGCCAAGTGCCTACCCCTGCACTCACTTTAATCTTACAGGACTGCTGCAGCATGTCGTCGCAGTTCAGAACAGTAAAAATCGAAATCGAATTATGTTTTCTAGGAACCAAAAGTTTCTCGTAAGTAGTTTTTCGAGTTATTGCAAAAAATTATCCTTTAAAAAAAATACGTCACATTTGGGAATAATTAAAGTCGCGGATGTTAGTAGTCATCACACCGCGAATACGTATAATACAATTTTGTTTTCGAATAATTAGTAGGAAAACAAATACCTCCGATTCACTACGGTCGCATGAAGGTACTAAGTGGCAGTAAGTACATACATACAATTATATATGTATAGTTAAACCCCGATCCAGTTACCCGACGAGTGTATATATATTATAGTGTATATACGCCGTTTAGTGTGAAAACTGTGAATGCCGTTACATTAATAATAATATGATATCACACCAGTTATAGAAGACCGAACCCGGTGAAAGTCTTTGCGCGTTTACTTTCACTGACAAATAATCCCAACTGTGCAGAATGCGAACAGGTGGAACAGACGGCGACGGGCATATCATTCTGGTTTATTTTCTTCTTCTGCGGCGAGTGGAGAAAGTACCGTTATTCAATTTTCCGCCTATATAATATTATGGGGACCCGACGACGACGCCGTTTATAATATTATTATTAAAAGCGGTTTACCTTATACTATTTTTTGAGTGCCCTAGGGGCATTTTCTCCGCCATCATTACAACAAATACAATAAAGATGCACAAAATTCAAAAATTTCCATTAAACAAGAAATTGTGACATTTCCTAAAATATACATATTGTCTTATAACATTTAAATTTCATGTGATTTTTTTATTGTTATTGTCTCTTTGCAGTTTGCACACTAACTAAAGAGTCCTCTGTCGTTTCCTGGTAGATTTATTTTGTTTATTCGTTCCAAGCTCAAAGTTATAACACCGTACGTACACGCAAAAATATACATTTATTAAACATCATAATATAGTAATATGACTTAGTCGTTCAAACGAGACATTTGGCCACTAAAACGATCTGCTCTCCACGCACCAAAAATCGGGGAACGTGCCTCCGGCACACCTGGTGTCCTCGAATCCTCTTGATGACTGTGTAAGGTTTCTCCACTGGATCGTCTAAACTTCTCGCGTCACCTGTACGGGGCGAAAAAACCATTATTATTATATAACGCAATATACAATAGAAAAAAAAACAATAAAATCTATAGCGCAATAGGTTCTCGCTGTCGTTTTAAAATGATATACTATAATATCACCATGTACCTATCGAGCAAAAAAAAAAAAACAAACGGGCGTACAAGATACAGGTAGGAAAAAACCACCTACAGTCGTTAAGGTCGACTACTGCGTAAACTGGATACGAATATACTGCAGCGTATAATATGTAATTAAAACAAAACTGTCCAGCCAACACTGTCAAGGTATTCCGCGGAAGGTTAACGATTGCGGCCGTCAACGCGGTAAAGTCGTTGCGAAAAATAATTATAATAAACTTGCTATTTATACTAATATACGAACGCGAGGCATTTGCGAGCCAAAGCGAAATAACAATAATAATACTATATGATAATATCATTTCGCCCGTGAAAATGTTCCGAAAAAAATCGTTGGCCGGGCAAACGGTTTTGAAATATTATAATATACCTAATATAATATGTAACGTAATGCGCGAGAGGCGACGACGCCGCCGCACGTCGTCGTCGTCGTCGCCCGTAACCTACGCACTGTGTCAAGGTCGACGAAGGATTTCTAGAAATCGCGTGTGCGTTGCACACACACACAACAAAAAAATAATAAAAACAACACAAAAATAAACCCAAATATATGTGTACACCCGGCTTATGCATACGGCGTACTGTATATTATTATTATTATTATATTATAGTGGTGACTGGTGGTATATACAACTATACAGGGCAGGTCACTGTGTTTTCACGTTTTTCATTTATTTAAAACAGGAAAACTCGATAGGCCACTCTGTATAATATTATGTATGTGTAGAGTTGTTTTAATTCGCGATTCCACTGCGGTGTACACTGCAAATAAACACCACCGCATTACAATAATAATATAACCGCCGACGTAGCATTCCAAAATATTAGATTCAAATATTCAATAGCAATTTTAAACACAACAAAAAACAGTCGGAACGCATACAACATTAGTTTCGTAAGTGGTATTATAAGGCGATTCCAAAGAGTTAAAAAAAATCAAAAGAATAGAAATTTAAAAACGATCTTGATTATTGTCTGCCTTTGTCAGCTCTCAAAAGAGAGATGTCTCGCCTACGGAGATGCACACATTTGCAAGTACTATGTGTTATACTGTTATACTGTTTTGCGATAATAATATTATTTATTATTATTTTATATTTAAAGTGTTGACGCTGTATGGAGGGGTTGATTGGGTTGTTCTCTTTACCCTTAGCCCTAGCATCAAGTATAACATATACATACATTATTATATACACAATAAAAAATGTAGTTTTAAGTGAAAAAATAAAATGTGAAATTCGAATGTTAAATATAAGCCGAGAAATTGTGTATTTATATTATGAAATTATTATTTGTATTAAAATGTATGTCGTAAATTAGATAACTTTATATAATATAGCCGCTATTATCGGAATTACATGACACATACCGCCACCGCCTTCTGAAATACCAATATTATAATAATAATTTGTAATATAAAATACGATATCACTACAATATATATATATAAAAAATCATTCCCAGCTATTTTTTCGGCGTCGCAGTCACCGCTCAGTAGTAATAGTCGTTATATTCTTAAATCTGAAGTCAGCATATACGGCGATTATAGATTATAATAAATAATAATATTGTGTACGCTATACCACAGTCAATCAGTTTAACGTTTATGCTTTGAAGGGAATTTAAAATCTACATCCTCAAGTTGTAGGTACACATATAATCTGTGACTAGTGGCGGGTCCTCCTAATCTAAATCATCTCCCTATTGCACCGTATTTGAGTATTAAAGTAACAATAAGTGATACATTTTATATTTTGATATTAATAATAATTGATATTATATATTATTTATTATCATTACTATTATTTATATAACTGCGTCATCGAAGTAATAATGTTTAACAGTATTATTATTATCTACCTTAGGTACAAAAAAATTAATATAAACTAATATTATCCACCTCGGAGAACACAACAGATTCAACCTACCTCCTATATTTTGGTAGTATTTATAAGTACATAATTGTGAGTAAACATAGTTCAACGTCGTTTCATATAATGGTACAAAACAATAATATAATATAACGGCCGAAGCGAGGGCCACTGCACGTGGCGCGCGTAAGTCACAACAATCATTATTATTATTATTATTGGTATCACTATTTATTCGAAACCCCTTCCCGTACCACTGCATCATCATAGTATTTGGCCTAGATAATATTCATGAGTAGTTTTCGTGAACACAAATATGGAATATCTTACCGGAAATCGGTAGAGTGCTAATAATAAATAAATAATGATAGTATATATTACTAAACATATATATAATATGCGTATACCATCAGCTGCAGCTACCTTGTAGATACCGTGCGGTTAAGCGTATAATAATATGATATTTGAGCTGATACAATCGGGAATCGATCGTATATTATAGAGTCGTCTAGCTTGCATATCGTCAATGTTAACGACGTTCTGCGAACGGGTTTCAGCCCCGCGGGCTGAGCTTATACTTATAACCTTCAAGTTCAATAGCGCACAAAACCCACATTATAATCGCCCCGCTCGCCGTCATAGTCTACGTTTCTGAATTTTTTAAGTATATTATGCACGTGCACAATAATTGTACACACCTATACCTCCCTCGCCCATCGTCTGACAACGGACAAATGCATATTTATTTCCCACGCAGAGTGGAGAAACAGTTGAACAGCACTAGCACGCTGACGTTGAAACATTTCAAACAGAAATTTTGTTTTAATGTTATGCATTACTATTTATTTTAAAAATGAAAAATATAACCGTAGCCTGGAGTCCATTGCATGCGCAAGCGTGTGTCTATAATGTAAAAGGAGATATTTTTAAAAAAAATAATTTTTTTACTAAAAAATCTAAATTTATATTACACACAATTTTGCATATTCAATCAATTCGGACTGTTGCCCTTTATTTATTTATTTTTATTAAATACTTTGCTGTAATAGAATTAAATAACATTAATAACAAAACTTATTTTAAAAAATGATTTTAATATAACAATAAATATCTACTATAAACAAAAAGCATATGTTCCTGAGTAGTTATATACCTAGTTTAAATTAAATAATCTTATTAATTAATCTATAAGACTAAATATTTAATTTATTTAACTTTCTCATCAGTCATCATTTTTATACATTCATAAGGTGTGAAATAAATATCAATATTATATTATAATTAGATTTACTTGAGTAATTATTTATTAAAAAGTTATTAATAATTAACAGCATTGGTTCAATATTCAATTTCTTTACACACTTTCAGAAAAATTTTTTAAATTTAATACCTAATACCTAATATGAAATAAAAAATATGTTGCTGTTATATAAAAAGAGTGAAGAAATTGCAATGATAAAAATAAAACCAACAAATTATGTTTTGCTGACCATATGCTTATAATATTTTTGTAATACAATATCAATTGAATGTCGTTAACAAATAACGCGTCTTATTGTATACATATACAATAACTGAAAAAAAAAATGTGTACATTACACAGGATATAGATGAATTTAAATCTTTCAAATGCAGTAATTATGTCAACCTACTCAGATTGAAAATGAGGTGTCGTACATTACCGTTTTTTTTTTTAGAACATGAACAGCGATCATATTTTAACAAAATGTCTGAACCAATAAATCTTACTTAAACAACATAATCTACTAAATTACTATTATTAAATATTAATACTATTAAAAAAATTTAATTCACTTATTCATTCGAACAAGTGCAAGTCATCAATGTTAATGATAATGTTAAAAGCATTCTATTTTCAGTCCCATTCTATTAAACAACCAAAAGGTTAAACAATCGACTCAATTGAAATGCACTATGTAGATAGAAGCAACTAGTACACACATAATAAATTATAAATAATGCATTATAGTATCATACTCTAGTAGAGTTCTGTAATGGTAATTTTATATTTTTTCGTTGGCAACTCAATAGGGCAGTGATCTGAATTTAGGTGACAAGTTAATACATTTATAATGCATATTTTACACTGCTTATAAGTAAACAAACATTTATTAATAACATTTATAATATACAGTACCTTCAATTTACTGATTTATACATTGTAGGAATTGTTTAAGCAAATGTAAAATTGCAGAGTGTCATAACTCATAATGTTAGTACGTTTATATAATGAACTAAACAAAAATTGATTTTTTATACAATAATAATATAGATCAAATATTTTATTGTAGCTTTTAAAAATTTTAATTTTAGAGATATTAGACCACTCTCCTATTTATACATAAATAAGTGCACATTAAATTGTACCTTACTAATTCATAAAACATTACCATCAACCTCCTCTTATTAGTTCTTAAGCATTTAATGTTCCTATTTTAAACTATGCATTTAATTTGAGAAATAATATTTGGCACAATTAATGTTTAGTATGTTATTAGAAGTTACACATTAAATATGAATATTAATTTACTAAATTCAGATATAAAAGATTCAATATTCGATATAATGTATAGCAGATATTATAGTATTAATATTGGAATGTTTAATGTTGGTAGGTAGTATACAAAAGATAACCTTACCAATAGCTAATGATTTGTATTTGTTTTTCCTCGTCCATACTTCATCTACGTCATCCATGACTAAGTTCCAGTGTTTGTCAAAAGCAATAATGTACCCTTCACAGTGGCCTCGAACAGACACAGCCGATCGTATGTATACTTTAACACGTTGTTTTAAGTAGCAAAACGTAGCAATGCGAGATAGTGGCCCACGAGATTTGCCAATTTCTGACATACGTACCAATACAGTTCGTCTCTGTTTAATAATCCGTTGAACTGATGATACTTGAGATGAACCGGCCACTAAAATAAACTGACTGCAGTATTTTATAATTATTGACATTTAGCAAGAACTTACCACTACTTAAATCACGTTTTATTGGTTCAATGTTATATTCGTTTTGTGTCTGTAAAATGGAAGTGTTAAAAATAATACTGATTGGTTATGAAGTATACAATTTCAAATTACTCTAGGTCTTTCAGGTTTGATCATGACTTCTCCTGAAGGAGCAAGTTCAAATTTTGATATGTTGTCTAGCGGTTGAGCAGTAGTGCTGGGCACTTTTACGTTTTTTGCATACAGAGCTTTGATTGGGTTGAAAGAGGGAGACAACATGTCCAATTCTTCATCGGTGCTAGACGACATTGCATATAAATCTGAGAACAAGCCCTAACATGATTAATATTCTTAACATTTATCCAAAGAAACATTGGTGTGTACACCGTAAAGAGCTTGTCACTATTCAGATTATGTAAAACTGTTTACTTACCAGCTGAACAGGAACTATAAGACTTGGAATATTTCGGATCGCATTTTACTGTTGACGGAAAAACATTATTACAATTAATTCGTTCGTGAAACAATTTCAAGAAAATAAAAATTAGTTGTAATAATTTATTTTATAGTTATACAATAATACAACCGTATCGCTATCGCATTCTTTCAACCAACTGATGATAGGTGATAACTGATAAGTGATAACAATGATAACGATATAGGAAATAAAAATTAAAAACACGACTGACGTATTTGGCGGGACACTCGGGAGCGAGATCTATGCGGCAAATTCGGTACTTCAGTCTCACACGGATGTCCGTCAATAGCGGACCGTTAGAGCACGCTGTCGTGATAAAAAAATTTACGTTTTTTTCTCTTTTTAGACTCGAAAATGTATTTGAAAGAAAAATGGAAAAGAATCTCCATGAGCAGACAATGAACCACAACGGAAGTAGAGCATCGCACAAGGTGAGAAACTATTTGTTTTTAATATGTTGTACTACATAAGTACCTGTACCAATGGGGTTTTAAAAAATAACAATTAATTTCACCAAACCCGTTTATAATAATATGTGAAAAATGAAAATATATAGGTACCTTGGAACTATTCGTGTTGATAGGTACTTACTCCAGTACTTGCTTGTACCACGATTCTATAGAACTATAGAACGTCGAGTTATCTATAATCGTGACACACACCAGTAACCTTTAATTTATATATTTTAAATTAAAACATCTGATGAGCTTTTTTTGTCGATTCGTTGAGTACTGGAATTTGATATTCTCTAGTGATATTTGTTATCTGAAAATTCGCTAGTGTTCTTGAAAAATAATTGTCCGACAAACCATAATATTACAATCGTTATTTATGGCGAAATATTTAGGTATTAGTCTATGATTCGTGTTTTGCAAATAATTGTTTTAAACGTGGGTAGATATAAATATTAGAATATTTTAATACAACTGCCCTTGAAACGTTTTACGAAAGAAAACAAATATTTTTTAAAAAACACGTTTTAAACACACCGACCCTGTCAATTACTATGATCGTATTTTTTAAAGGGACATATTTTGCGTCCGACTTCTGGCAAACGGCAATACACGCTAATTACAATATTGTCCTGCAGTTTGATTGGTTTACGCGTTTTCTATTCTTGGCTAACATCCAGGTGTATTTCAATGAAATTTAATTATGAAAGATTTGTGTCAAATAATTAGCACCGATACGAATGGTTCGTACATATTACAATGTGATTATTATTTAAAATTAAATTATGATATCAATCAGACGAATGGTTGTTAAAATTCAACAAATAGTTTGATATTTTTATTGCTCAAATATTAGATTATTTTATTAAGATAATTAAAAATAAAGTGATTTTTCAAGTGATAAAATCATATTTAAACAGTATAATGTTATAATACGTAAATTATTTTTATCAAATAATATTTCGGAGATAAAACAATTATTTTTCGAAAGTGGTGCTTATTATCTTGTACCTATGATAACTGATAATATATGTATTTTTTTAATTACGTGAAAGTAACAAGTAATAAATTACTGTCGTATATAACACTAATATTTATGTATGTAAAATAAAAAAATGGCTGTATTAGGCGAGTACGAAAATGTCATGATACCGGTTTCAAAATAAAAAATAAATGACAACAATACTAGGTATATAAATAACTAACAAGCTGATAATACAGACATAGGTATCGTGTGTAGTCTATGTTACAGTAATATATATATTATATTATAAATATATTGTTAATGTAAGTGAACAGCTATAATCATTGAAATGCTCGTGAGGGTAGTTTATTTTCTTATTAAAACAATATTTTAATACTACAGATGTCTATATGAGTTTAGCTATTAAATATTGATCTAAATATTATTTCTATTTTGATAATTACATTTCTTAACGGTTATTATTATTTCTTCTAAATCTAAGGACGAATAATTTAGTATGTGATTATAAGAACCTACAGCCTTTAATGTATTTTTATCAAATTAATTAAAATTTTAGAGAATATTAATATTAATATTTATATTATAACAAATTTAATGAGTACCTAATGACTAATTATTCAACTATACCGTAAATCTATAACAACCTTTTATTTGAATTCCTTACTATTGTCAATTGACGTAGATTATCCATTATATTACTTAATTAAAACCGCATTAAGTCCTTAATGAGCAATAATTTACTTAGCTGATATACTCTGAGTGGTGAGGTATAGACATAGACTAGAGAATAATCAAAATTAAATATTTGTTTGAAAGGAAATGTGTAAGGTTTAATTTATTATTTGAAAAAAAATCAAGAGGGTCCAAGGCTACATATTATATTATTCTCATCACTATTTTTTAAGTATATTGAATTGTTAACTTCGAAATTATGCAAATCAGAAATTAATTTACTGTACGCATAACAAAGTTTATCTATGACTTTATTATTTCAATTAAATAATACATTGTTAGATGGGATTTTTTTAACATTTTCTAGATTATAATATAATAACGTGTTTGCCGTGTGGCTTATTAGTATTTAGGAGTAGCCGAGGACGCTCAAACATAAACGTGTTAATGTTCCTAAATTGAATTTAGCTGTAGTAGATATTGCTATGGTAATCTTCCAAGGTAAACGGCTGGATACTCAATGGTCCAAATCACACAGTTAAAACAAAAACCAAATTTTAATGCACTTTCATGAATGCTAACTATGGGACTTTTGATAATTTTACTAGAAGGTAAATCATTTTGAAAATGAGCAAAATCAATTTAATTATTAGGTTATAATCACTCATAATAACTTTCAAAACTATATAATATATAGATAATATTTTAAAAACTTAATTCTTAAAATTGAAAAGTATATTTGCAATTATTAATGGTTACGTTAATTATTTTCAATTTATGTTTAAATTTATTATAGCTCAGCATTTTACTTAATAATATAAATTTGTTCATAGACATCTTGTCTTACATTGAATGAACGTTTTGATTGGTCTTTTGTATTGCCGAGTTGATCAAACAGTTGCAGTTTTATTTTAAAACTATGGTACATGTTTTGGAGTTAAGCAAATTGAACGTTACTGCATTATTCATTTTTTTTATTTCCTGTTGTTATTAAAATGATAAATACTACGGTGTGCCAAACATGTTCAATATTTGCACTGTGTATAAAAGCATTGTAAAAAAAAATTATCCAAAATGAAACTGCCTATAATATTTAGTGTAATGGTAGAAAATGAAAAAAAAATCCATGAAATATTTTATTACCACACACATTCTATCTATCTTTATAAAACATACAGATTGTTTATAAATTTCATCTTTTTTTTATAAATAATTAAATTGTTTACAAAATATGTAATATTAAATGAATGTTACTATCTATAATTTGATTGTTTATCTGTTATGTTTTATACTACCTGTGCATACTATGGATTTAGTTGTATGTATTTTATTAAAATAATTATACCCATAAATAAAATCTAATCTAGTCAATCGAAAAGTCAAACATAAAAAAATAGAAAATCAATGGATTTTTTAAAAATATTATTGTCATTTAGTAATTGCTAGTTGTAGTGCTCCATTATAAAATTAAATAGTATATTTATAAACTTTTTCAGTGCACCTATATTTATCATAAAATTGTACTGGTTCATCACATATTGCTTATTTATATGTATTGTTATTTAAATTACAGATATCGAAAAAACGTAAGTCCACTACTCATTAATTGTCATCCTGGCTTTTGTGAAACCCACACCTCCCGGTCCTCCACTGTCCGCTGGTGTAGTGGTTGCTGGAAGGACATCGGCCATCTCAGGTTCAGGCATGCCTTTCATGGACGATGTGTTACTCTGGTGCCCAGAGGCCGAGACGAAAATTGACGATTTTACTGAATGTCTTGTAAGTAGTTGAACGCCATTGTAAAGATGTATCATAAATCTCATGAAATTACCGATATGTTAGCTAAGCGTTCATGTTCATTTTAGGGTAACGAAGTTTCCAGTCTCGGTGAACTACTCCAATCGGAAATATCCAGTGAACTGGACAACGCTTTAGACGGAGGAGGAGCGAGTATACAGGATGGTGGTGAACACTCTGGCGATGATGACATTTTCAAGCAGCTGTCCGACTCGTCTGCGTTACTCGAACAGTTTTTCGATTTTGTTAATTGTGATATAAAGGTAAATGGCCCGTTTAGGTTTACTGCATTCAATTCAAAGTGGAGAGGAAAGGTTCAATCGGTCAAATATTCAATCATGTGTCATTAACAATTTTTGATTCTATTTAATGAATATTTTACTCTTCAACTTCGGAATAATTTGCATGTGCTAAATTCTCACTATTTTTGTTTTTCGTTATTATTATTAATATTCAATCAAATTGTATTTAATAGTTGGGCGTCTGGTATAGACAGCTTAAAATACACATACATCAAAAAGATTTAGTTTAATTTTTTTACATCAAGATGTACAGATAAACATAATATAATTCATTTAATAGATGGTAGATTTTTTGAATACTTCGATAATAGTATGTTTTATTTTAAAATTAAAAATAATATCGTACGAGTTAATGATTTAAGGTAAGGAGTAAATATAGGCAATTTCATATTTTGATTTTTTGGTTTTGAAATTTGTTGTCCTTGACATAAAATTACAAAAATACATTTTTATACATTTGTGAAATTGCCTATATTTACTCCTTATTTTAAATCATTAACTCATATTATACAATTACTTCTATGTTCAAATGATAAAATGAAAAATACCTATCATCAAAATATTTAAAAAAAAATAAAATTGTCCATTTTATTGTTATAATCATTAGTTATTATTTAAATATTTTTTATTAGAAATGAACGATGTATAAAACTAAATCTTTTATTTTTTGTGTATTTTAAATTGCCTAAACCCGATGCCCAACTATTAAATACAATTTTTTTGAATAAAAATAATAACTAATAGGCTTCAAATCTATATACTTCTAACTTTATACGTTTCATTAAATATTCATCACATTAAAAAAAATCACACAAATTTCATTTTTTGAATACTATTATTAAATGTATAGGTATATGATATATATTTTTATTTTTACAGGAAGAAAATAATAATAATGTCATGTCAACGGGTAACAAAAACCATGCTGCAGTTGCATTACTTCAAGAACTGCAACGCACAAATGCTGGCAAAAAATTCAACATTACCACTGCAAATCCTTTGCTTGCAGGTACATATTCTTATAAAAGACTATGTGATAGGTACCCATAAATTAAAAATAAGATTAATTTTTAATAAAGAAAAATTTAAAATTTAAATCTAGTCTAAAACCTACTTGCCTATAAATTGTAAATGTATATACTCTTAATAAAAAAGTATTCAAACCACTGAACCATTATAAAGTTTGCTCATATCAGTAATTTAATTTACTGTTTATATGTTTTGTGAAGTCATGTAAAGTCGCATTAACATGATTATCCTCAAAAATAATATTTTATATAGTTTAAAAAAGTTTAGTATCTATTTATGATATGGAAAATAATACAAGAATACAAACAATTATGTAATATGGTTATAACTCATAATACAATTTCATTAACATTTGTGTACGCCTACTTATATAAATAATTACACTATAATAACCTAAATCTAAGAGTTAACATAAAACATAATTGTTAATTGTTATGTTACAATACACGGAATTGTTATTTTTGTTTTGTTAGGATCAAAATGTAGATAGATTTGTAATGGGTTCAATATTCTCAAATATCTATCATAACAGTTAACTTTGAACTTACCATATCTATCATAATATCATGTCATAATCATTATTAAATTGTTAATCTGACATTAATTTAGCAACAATGAGGAGCATATTTTATAATATATTATACACTAAGTACCTACAAACTATATTAATATTATGAGATTTAAATTCATAGTTAGTAATTAATTATAACATCTAGTTCTGTACCTACTCGAAACAAAAAATAAAATTTTAATATTACTAAGTGCTCACTTATTTTTGTAGCAATTTAGATTAAACTCAACTTTTTTGTAACACCTACTTAATTTAAAAAATTTAATAATGAGTCAACATTGTTCAATTTCGAAATATTAGTCTACAAAATATCAGTTATAAGCGTACATCTACCTAACTTATACATATTATTGCTAGCTGATATATAGGTTATTATATTATTTATGTTATGTAATTGAGTAATTCACCTAGAACTAGCATTTAACTCCCCCCTTCCAGTGGAGTATTTACACGGGGACTATGGGGTCCTGACCCCTCCCATTGACTAGTATCTCGTACATGTTATGTTTGTGTTTTACATGATTAAGAAAAATAAATTTTATCGTACAATACAAAGAATTTTGTAAAAAATGTTCTTCGCTTCAATTGACAAAATTTTTAATTCATATAGCGATATTTTTGTTATCAATTTACAATGCCAGTATTTACAACTACTCCCAAAATATGTTTTTCTACCTTAAACAATTTTGGAACCCAACTCAAGTTTTCCCATTTATAGATTGTCATGTATTTATACAAATTATTTTTTATTTTAAATGATATCAGCCTATTTATTCTGTGATTTGTAGAGAAGATTTTGTAATTTAAGCTATTTAACAGATTCAAAATGTGTTTGATTACCTACTTACCTATTTTTGAGTTATTAAACTTTATGTACTAACGATAATAGTTCAAATAATAGTTTTAAACAAAATTAAAAATTTTAAGTGTAATATTTAGACTATGTTTTTACTACTAACTTTACTCAGACAATTTTTACAAATAATTTCATTTACAGTAGCTTAATCATTAATGTTATTCAAACAACCATATTTTCAAACCACCATATAAAATTATTCCATTATGGTGGTATTTGATAAAATCATTAAAATCATTGTTATCTTTAGTACTTGTGTGAGTAAAATAATTCAGCAAATACTTTTTCAAATTTTGATTTATATCTTTATTACCTATGTACACCAAGATATTAAAGAAAATTAGAAAGACACACAGTACAAAATAAGTTTGTATCACTACAGGACATTTTTAAAATAGTAAACAAATCTTAAGTAGGTATTTGAAATTAGGGATACAGATTAGAATATTAATAGATGTATAGGTAAGTAATTAATGAATAAAATGGGATAGAGCTTGTTTGGTGAAACATTGTATAAATAGGTAACTCTGAAATAGTATAATATATTTAAAACATGTTTAAATAGATAAGTAAATCATGGTTGAAATTTGATTGAATAATTGATATTAAATGCATTTAATGGCATATAATAATACATAATTTCCACATAAATTAATGTACTCATCAATAATATATTATTATATTTTATCTGGTAAAAATGTGGATACTCGGTATAAGAAGATTTTTATTTTATAAATCAGATATTATTGTGTAAATACAAATAGGTTATTTATACTTCTAAATTACCTACTGTCAACTAACTTAAAAATATAAAAATTTATAAAAACTCAACTCACACAGGCTTTTGGCTTTAATTTGAGTAGTATCATTAAAATTATTTATTTTGTGCTTTGAGGTTTCATATAATTACATTTTATGGCGATAGGTATTAAAAATAATTTTAGTTAAGGTAGTAGTTACCAAATTAATATTTGTATTGTTCTATGATTTAGAAAAACTTCTGAATCCTGTGTCTCAGTTAAATCCAAGTTTAAACCAAAATTCAGATATGTTCATCAATCAAAACAAGTACATCAAGGCAGAACCTTCAATAAATGATACAGGTACAATATATTATTAGAAGTTATGATTGAACATTATTGAATATTGTCTCAACCAGTAAGTATTTAATAGTTAAAAGTTAGTCAGCGAATGAGCAAACTTATGAGAACACTTTATCTATAAGTGTAATTATTTTTATTTAATTGTTTGAGTGCAAACAGATACTGGGTACTTTTAATTAACTCTTGAAGTCTTGAAGTACCTAATCCTCTATTTGCGACTTAATAACTGTTAAATCTGGTGTTGATCTCAATGATGTAGTTAATTTCTCATAATATAAAAGTATATAGATATTAGAAAACAATAATAACATTGACTATCTAACAGAATATCAATAACATTAGTTTAGTAGATTAGTAAGTATCTAGGTAAATAATAAAAGTTGGTTGTAATTGTATAAATTAAATTGTAATCTCATTGTGTAATGAAATATAGATGACGCTAGCTGTTCTAAAAATGATTTCAAATCGGTATTTATAAAATATTCCAAAATTATGTATACATTTAACATTGACTATCTAATAGAATATCAATAACATTAGTTTAGTAGATTAGTAAGTATCTAGATAAATAATAAAAGTTGGTTGTAATTTTATAAATTAAATTGTAATCTCATTGTGTAATGAAATATAGATGGCGCTAGCTGTTCTAAAAATGATTTCAAATCAGTCTTAGTAAAATATTCCAAAATTATGTTTAAATGTCTTCTTATAACACTCTTTCGTTTGATCTATCGATTTATGCATTGAATTTTTAAAATTATTTTAAGCCACGCAGGTAGTTTCAATATATTTGAAGCATTTATCGTTATTCTAAACACTAAATAAATATCATAGCTCATCAGCGACGTAGTGTTTAGTGTAGACACGATTGTTCGGTACCTGGGAAAGGTTTTTATTTTCGTTATTTTTATTTGTAACTCATAAATATATCTTAAACTTAAATATACTATTTATAGAATAATCGTGAAATTTCTTTCTTTCACTCTAGGGTGGAAGGCTTAAGCCCATCAATTTCGGTTATTTATTTTAATATATAAAATAAATATGAATCTAATTCACTGTAAATTATAATAGTGTAGTTCATAATGTATAGGTATATATTATTCTATAGTTTGCCTTAGCATATGAAATATGCATGTGTTTTTTTACGCAACATAATTCTCACCAGAAATCAGAATAATATACTCAATATAGTAAGTAGGTACTCTAAAAGTAGCAATAGGTATTATAATATAATCACAATTCTTCAATTTTTTACTAACACATTTTTTTAAAACCTTCATTACACAATTTTTCAATATTTTTTAAAAATGTTTTTTTTTTTTTTTACATCAATATTGAATAATTATATTTTGTTTTCAATTTTATTTTATAAATAATATAATATAACAATTCGGTATTTGCCCAAAATTCACATATGATATCATATTATTAGGCATAACCATCACCAAATATACACAAAAAAACTCACTGGTACCCAATCCGTACATTTTCTGATTCCTGTATTATTTCGTTACAATAGCAAATTACAGATTATTGACTATCCTTATAGGATTAAATTAATTAATTATACTAATATGTGGTTAAATTATTTCAATTTATTTGTCTAAGATCAATATTAATTCTGATTCAATTAGCAATTCAGTTGTAACTTATAATGCATTGGTGGCATTTGAACAAGAATAAATATCTCAATCATAATTGAGTGCACAGTTAATTAGTTTGGCTATTATCGGTTTTTAATGATTTTTTTACAAAATCAGTTATATTGAATCTAATAAATCATTTAAAAATATTTTAAAGAACACATTCATCTAACACATACCTATAAGACCCATACACTCAAAAACCCAAAGTATATATATTTAACTTACATATTTTGTGTTATAACGTTTGGTTATAGGTTTTGTTAGTCCATAAAATTTAAGGTCTGATCTCGTTAGTATAATACAACTAACATCTTGTTATTCTTAACACAGATTTTGAATAATAGGTATACTCGTATTTCCGATTTCAATCAAAACAGCTGCATAACATCGTATTGAAATATTGAATTTTTGCATAGTTCGAACATTTTAGATAATTATTAATTATATAACAACTATTTCGTACTCTTACTACAAAATTATAGTTTAAATCTGCTATTATAAGTTATAGGATTCGCATTAAAAATGACGATATAAATGTATAATGCAAATACTATTTTCATTTAATATTTAATGTAATATAGGTAGTATAGGTACCTCACGTGTACTATTTCAAAAGTATTTTATAATTTGTAATTGTGCATTATTAATATTAAACGAAGACACTAAATGCCCAAAAAAAAAAATAGATTTGGTCTTTATTAAAATATAATAATAATAATAGTACCAACATACAACAGTCTATTAAACATTGTCATGTATAATCTGATACATACATTTTTGATATAATATGTTTGTAAAAAGGTGGGCTGGACGCCATGAAGCATAATATAAAGTTCTTTTAATCATTGATTATAATTTATATTATTATCATCTCTATTTCTATATACACCCCTCCCCCCCCCCACACGGTATACTTTATAGCTGAGTATCAAAAATTACAGTCTTTAAATAAAAACCAGTATAATACACTATACGTTTCTGGGATGGGTCTGAACTAAAACAATGTGGTTTTTGACTAGCATTTCGAAAATATAATGCATAATGTTTTTAAGTTTTAATATAATATTCATCACCATTCATAATTTATTATCACGGCTAAGTAGCCGGCACGCGCAACAGTCATCTGGTGCATCATTATCCGAGTAGGTACCTATAACTATACTATATTATATTATTATTTATTACCTACCTACAGTATATCGATGAGTTCATCAGAGTTTCAACAAATCCGTTGGCCAAGTTTGATAATGCGCTTGGCCTTTTCAACGTATAGTTAATACTTTAATAGTTATACATTTGTTAGGTATATAAACTTATATATCTTATATATTGTATATTATATATTATATACTATATGATATAGTATTATTCAAATTTGAAGCATATTTGTAACAATTTTTAAAATGTACATAAAATCATCATATATTTAAATATTTCATACCTATTATACTATTGTTATAATACTCGTACCTACATAAGGCATAAATAATATCGATTATTCTTAATTTCTTCTTAATTCAATTTTGTATGTACAATCATGCGTTGCTTAACTTGTTAATTACAATTTATACATTGTGTATAAATGTATAATGAGTATTATAATACATTACATGTATATTGAGGTAATTTAAAAAAAAACATTTCTTTCTTTATATTTTTGTTATGATTTTATTGACACAAATTATATTAAAACTATAAACTATATAGGTACCTAATTCTATTATCCAAGTAATCCTATTACGTCCCAGTTGAATTATATATCCTATTGGCCATGGGAATATTATATTATAATTGTAATTTTATGAATACTTCCCGAATAAATGTGTGACTGCAATTTGTGTGTGCACTGTGCTGTGCAAGTAATCAAGTATATCCTTGATTCAATAAATGTCAGTAAACTTTGTGTGGTCATCGCTTGAGAAATATTTAATGAATCACTAACCGAAGCAACAGATTCGATTACCATTGACTTACCTACAAAACTTTTTTTTACTATACCGTATAATATATTATGATGTTGTATATTCGACGATTGCATAATAAACCACGTATTTTTTACAATTATTTTCAGTTTATTCTGTCTTTTTCACTCCGTATACTCCTAAAAGGTTTGAAGCTGTATAAATAATATAATTCATTACCAGAGATTTCTTCAGAATTCGGAAAAAATCTATCGACGAGATGCGCATATGACTGCCTATTATTATATTATAACGCGTAAGGATTCGATCCAAGTGAAGTGCACAGATTCCAAATTCTTCCGCGCACGATGCAGCTCTTTGTCTGCTGCAAACATCGTATACTCGCACAGCCATTCACCGGAACTCGCGGAGCCCGGGCTCCGGCGCTAACGATTTTTCGTCCGGCTTCCAATGATAATATACGTCCGGAATGTATCTCGCAGTATATTATACACGCGCCGCTGTCCTAACAATATATACGAATATACCCGTTCTGTAACATTAATAATAATAATACTAATAATATGACTATTATATCATTTTATTCTACACTCACGAAAAATATACAGGGGATACCGATGTACGTATTATACTAATATTTATACATCTATACCCTGCTTATACAGTCCACTGGACGTCTGGACCAAATGTGTTGAAAATGTGCAGCGCGTCTATATTTTTCGTACTCGCTCGTCGTCTTCACAGTTCATTCATCTTGAATGTTCTATGTGCAATATAATATACGCCGTATATGAGAATAGTGGCGTCCGCATCGGGTTTAATTAGCGAGTAATTCGCCTCGGGGACGGAATCCATTTCAATCGGGTGGACACAATAGGGACTCCAGCGGACAATGGGTTTCGTTCGATTTCGATTTGCCGCACCGTCGTGGAGCGATTATTATTATTATTATTATTATTTCTGGCGCGATGGATACACATTACGACGACAACGGCTGGGGCGGTGGCGCATGCACGTGATTAGATTCATGAGAAACCGGTTGCCAATCAACGGCTGCTGCATATTACAATCTTCTTTGCTTCTTCTTCGTCATCTATTTGTGCTCGTGTGTATGTGTCTGTGGTATATAAAACATAATATGTTCGCATTGTGTATCTCGGTATACACAACGTTCTCGCGGGGGCTACCGGATGCCCGGATGCCGATGACCCTGCAATAAACCGAAATTCTATTCGTCGCCCGGGGGTCTACTGCTGCAACGATCGAAAGAATATTATAACATCGAGTATACACATACGCACGGATGCCCATGGATACGAGCTTGATATTGGCAAGTTCTTATAAACGTCGTTGCATAAAAAAGGCAAAAAGGGCGCTATTATAGACTCCAACGGCTATAAAATCATCTCACTAGTAATTTATTCGTCTA